GGGGACCCGGCCGCCGACACCCCGGCCCTGGCCTTCCAGGCCGAGGCAAGATGGGGCAGAGGAAGGCCTAGGCAGGAGGCAGAGACTCAGATGCTGCGTAACAACTCTGTTCTCTCCCGCGTAGACTTGGCCACGATATGGCAACGCTGCTTCTAAGGAAAGTGATTTCTGCCGTGGCCCCTCTCCGAGCTCTCGGCCGTTGCACAGCGAAACCCCAACCCCTCTCCACGCTCCTGTGGGGGTCCCTTCGCGGGGCGGCTCCTGTGGGCGCGAAGCGTCGCGCAGAGGAGCCTTCCCTTCTCTGGCCTGGCCTCCTGTCCCGCCCTCAGCCTGCGCTGGGGTTCAAGACCAAGGGCGTCATCAAGAAGCGCTGCAAGGACTGCTACCTGGTGAAGCGGCGCGGCCGGTGGTTTGTCTACTGCAAAACGAACCCCAGGCACAAGCAGAGACAGATGTAGCCCCTCGGAGCATCGCTGGAGCCCCGTCCGCCTTGCTTGGTAAGGTGGCTGCCCTTCTTGGAGGCCTCTGTCAGCCAGAAGTCAGGAGCGGGACTCTGTCGGGCCGTGTCACCTGTGACTGTTCAGTATGGATTTGTAAATGTAGAATGCGTTCCATCACTTGTTTCAACACTTCTCCAGGTAAAAACGTTTTTCAATAAAAGCAAGACCCTGAATAGCTTCATCCATGGCCCTCCCTGAACTCCAGCTGCGGGTAGTGTTGGATTGTGCCCTCAGGGCAGGGCCAGGGTTTGCTGTGTGCTGGGAGGGTCCTCCGACCCTCCTGGAGGACAGGTGGGTATGAGGTCTCCTGTTGCTGCCTGGCTGTCTGCCCGAACCTCGGTGGCTTGCAGCAGCTGTCTTCCCGTTGCTCAAGGTTGAGGGTGGTGCCTGGGGGGCCCTCGTGAGCAGCGCATTGGCAGCAGGGTCCACTTCCAACAAGGCACCTCAAGGGCTGGGTGCTCTGTGGACTGTCCCCTGTCTCAGGCAGGGCCCATGGCTCCCGAGAGGCCCAGGTAGACAGTGGAAGGCTTCACCCACGGGTCTTCTCCTGCACTCTACTAGTTCAGCATGTCCCTCGGATGAGCCCAGCATTGGGGAAGGGCCACCCTACATGCTTGAGAAAGAAGAGGGTGGAGAGGGTCAGTCCTCCCTGGAAGGACTAGGATGGGGCAACCCAACGCCGAGAGTTTGCAGGACTGCACACGGGATCCTTGGAGCCTCCTGGAGGGAACGGTGGGTGTGGAAGTGACCTGTTGCTTCCTGATAATCTACCATGTCGGGTGTGTCACCTGGACAATGCTGTCTCAGCCCCAGCAGCCATGACAAGGTACCACAGCAGAGGGAGCCATGCCTGCATGGGGCAAAAGCACAGCCATGCACCCGGGGACTTCTCCAGGAGGAGCAGTGGTCAGTCTGGGTGGTTGTGAACACTGAGCAGGTGCACCTGTCCGCCTCCCAGTAGCCCACAGGAGTCTGGCCCAGGCGAAGAGGGCGCAGGCCCTGTGCGGGGGCTTCTGCTCAGCTGGGAAGCCTCCTTTGGGCGGTCCTTCAGTGCATGGTCCTAGACTCAAAAAGCGGACCACACGGGGCCCTGGAGGAGTCAAAGCCAGATCCCACAAGGAGATCTTTGGGCACCAGGACTGAATACCTGGATGAGAGCACGTGTGCATGGGGGTGTGTATATGTGTATATATGTGGTGTGGTTGTGCGTGTGTGTACATGTGGCATGTGCATGAGTGCACGAGTGTGGGTGTGAGTGCATGAGTGTGTGTCAGTGCAGGGAGGGTGTGCCATGAGTCAGTACAGCTACTGTAGTGACCCTCAGTAGACAGAGTGACCTCCACCTCTATCATAGATGTAAGCCCCACAGAGTGCCCAGATGACTCCCCCAGGTCACACCGCTGCCTGAGCTCCTGGCCTGGGCCCTGGGGTTCAGAGAAGGGGGGTGCCCCTGCATCTGGCTTCCCATGCAGGCCCGACGGGAATGGACAGGGGAGAGTGCGACACGAGTAGAGCCAATCAAAATGACTCCAGACACTGCCATATGCCCCGAGGGGGAAAATATGGTTTCCCAACCCTGAAACAGGACTGACACTGCCTGTCTAACCATGCACGTCTCACAGTTAAGCCATCTGGAAGGTGGGGGTGGTGATAGAGTCAGAGACGAAGGGGAGCTTGGAGGGGCAAGAACGAGCAGCACAGCCACCAGCCAGCTGCATCCCTGAGCTCCCGCGGAATGTGCCTGGGTTGTTCCCCAGGGGAGGACATTGGACCGATTATCCGCAGTTTTAAAGGGTCACCCTGGGAAGACTTGACTCCCAGCCTCTTCCCGGCTGCCTTGAGGGTATGCATAGCAAGTCCCCGAGAGCCAGCGAGGATAGAGCATGAGGGCTGAGGCAAGTCCCTGAGGGAACTTATTTCATTAATTATACTTCAAGTATATGTCTTTAGTAGAGGCCAAGATGATTTTAAAAAGGGGAAAAGGCCGGGCGCAGTGACTCACGCCTGTCATCCCAGCACTTTGGGAGGCCGAGATGGGAGGATTGCTTGAGCTCGGGAGTTTGAGACCGGCCTAGGCAACATAGGGAGATCCCATATCAAAAAAGGGGGTAGGGGAATGGCACATGCCTTTTCTGTGACTGCCATAACAAATTAATACAAGCTACGGGACTTCAAACAACAGAAATGTATTATCTCACAGTTCTGGAGGCTGGAAGTCCAGCAACAAGGTGTGGATGGAGGCTGGGGTGGGGTGGGGGCCCTCCTGCCCCTCCCAGCGTCTGTGGCTCCGGGTGTCTGGGCGTGCAGCCCGTCGCCCTCTCTGCCTCCATCCTGTCTTTTTTTTGGGTTGGAGTCTCTGTCGCCCAGACTGGAGGGCAGCGGCCGCTCCCGGCCACCACAGCCTCGCCTGCTGGGCTCCGGCGACCCTTCCGCCTCAGCCTTCCGCGTAGCCGGAATTCCAGGCAGGCGCTACCACGCCCGGCCGATTTTTTGATTTATTGTAGAGATGAGGTCTGGCTGCCCAGGCGGGTCTCGAACCCGCGGGCTCAGGCCATCCGCTCACCTCAGCCTCCCAAAGGCGCGGGATGACAGGCTGAGCCACCGAGCCCGGCTCTCTGTCTTTTCGAAGCCTCCTCCTCTGAGTCTGTCTCCTCCTCCTCGAAATCACTGGATGTAGGGCCCACCCTAATCGGGATGACTTCATCTCAAAATAGGTCCACCTGCCAAGACCCTGTCTCCAAATTAGATCATGTTTTGAGGTTCCAGGTAGACAGGAATTTTGGTAGGGTCTTATTCAGTCCTCCACAAGTGGGATAGAATATTTTTGAAAATAATTTTAGCTTAAATGATTGTTACTAGATCATGTGTTCACATGGTTCAAAATGCAGAAGACACCCACGTATGCAGTGGCATTCTCTCTGGATCCCAGGCCTCCTCATCCCAGGAAACCAGCAGGATCATGCCTCCACAGGCCCTTCCAGCTGGACCCTGGACTCTCGGCAGGCATCCCAACTGCCATTTTTGCCCCCATTTTGCACACTGTCCTATACCCTGAGGGTGAGTTTGGGCAGCAGGTCCTGTCAGCAACCGAGGGGCATCCCACTCTTGGCCTGGATAACTCTGCCCTTGAATTCTTCAATTTTTTGTTTTTTTGGGTTTTTTTGAGTCAGGACCTCACTCTGTCACCCAGGCTGGAGTGCAGTGGCAGCCTTGACCTGCTGGGCTCAGGTGAACCTTCTGGCTCAGCCTCCTGAGTAGCTGGGACTACAGGCATAACCTAGCGCACACAGCTAGTTTTTTGTTTGTTTGCTTGTTTTGTAGCGACAGAGTCTTGCTATGTTGCCCAGGCTAGTCTTGAACTCCTTGGCTCAGTGATTCTCTGGCCTCAGCATCCCAAAGTGCTGGGATTACAAGCATGAGTAACTGTACCCAAGCTGCATCTATACAAGTTTTATCTTCTCTCTCCCTTTTTGACTTATAAAACACTTTTTCCAGTTTTGTAACTGGTGGCTGTGATTCCCAATCAGAGGTCAATTATTTTTTCCTCCAAGCTCCTGCTTGTCACTTTCTGTTTAAAATGCATGAAAGCGCTGGGAACGTATAGGGAATGTCTTCCATTGCATGAGAAATGGGCTTTCAGAAACAGGTGGCAGGGAGTCCCCACACGGCACCCCAGCATGGAATTCTGACATTCCCTCCCTGGCCAGCCACCATCAAGGATATGTTGTCATTTCCACAGTGATGCACCACAGGGAGCACAAGGTGGTACCGTACAGAAAGCCTGGCAGCTCACGGGCCGCCTTTCAGGAAGTCAAGATGACTGCTTTCTCCTAAGATGTCTGTCTAAAGGTTTAATCGCTTTTCCAGTGGTTAGAAATGTGATCGCCTGTTCTGAAACTGTCGTTTTTATGTGTGACTTTTATCAGTTTAATCAACTAATGTGTTGTTTGAGATGGAAGAAGTTACCCAGGCTGCGATGGCAGCTCCCATATTTGGACTTCCTGCCCCCTTTCTTTCCTTCCTCTTCACCAACCTTTCCAAGTGTTCGTTTTCCACCTTCATGACGACTCTTTCTGAAGTTCCAGATTTGCACAAGCTCCCGTGGCCTGGCACAACAGGGTGGCCAGTGCTCCACCAATCACATTCAGCATTCCAGGCACTCACAGGGAAGGGCTGGGGGACAAGCATAACTCCAGCTGCCCCATCCTTCTCATCCTTTTAAGCAGTTCCCCAGGATTTGCCTGAATCTTGCTCACGCAACAGAGACTGCCCATAACTGTGAAGAGAAGAAGAGAAAGGTCATCTTCCAGCTGTGCGCTGTGGCGAGATCAGAAACTGGCCCTGGCTGGCAGTTGCCCACAGCCTGCGTGTGTCTGTGTTCAGAGCCTTCAGCCCCCACAGACCCTTCCGTGAAACGTGTGTAAAGGACAGCGCAGGCAGCCCCCCCCAGGTACAATGAAGAAACAGAAGCATTCCATGGGAGGGGTCCAAACGCTCTTGGGCTCTTCAGACTGCCAGAGCTGGATCTGAGTTCCCTTACTCTTACGATGAGGACATGCAGGATTTCCTGCTTGCTTTCATGTTCAGTGCAGTTATGGAGCTCAGGGTGTTCCTCAGGCCGCCCTGATGCCCTCACACCCTGTGTGATCTCTGTCTCTGCCCCTTTGAGAAGTCAGCCCTTGTCGTCATGGTCAGGTGGGAATGGCCCAGACAGCTTGCTGGTGTGGCCAAGACCCAGAAGAAGAAGTCCGTCTGAAAAACATTTTATTTTCCCAAATCTCTGCTCCAGGAAGTATCTGACCAGCTTGAAAAACAATTTGAAGTTCCAGGCTTGCACACGCTCCCATAGCCTGGGGATCAGCCTTCTGAAGGCTGAGCCTGGTGTCCGAGTCTGTCCGTCTCACTGTTTCTTGCTCTTCACCTATGGCATCTCTCTGTATCTCTGTGTGGGTGACTCTGTCTGTCTCTGTTTTTTTTTTTTTCCTGTCTTTATCTCTGTTGCTGTGTGTCTGTCTCTCTGTGGGTCTTCTCTCTGTCTCTTTCTATCTCTGTCTTCCTATCTTATCCATCTCTGTCGGTCTCCCTGTCTCTTTCTGTTCTCTCTCTCTGTGTCTCTCTCATCTCTGACTGTCTTCCTATCTCTGTCCTCCTCCCTGTCTCTGTCTTCCTATCTCTGTACCT